TTTCTTACACAGCCAAAACATCAGTGTAAATGAGTGACAACATATCCTGAGAGTTGTAGTTCCTGGAGTGATACTTGTTGACTGCATTAATTTAAGATGCAATATTTTCCTTGTACAAAACAAATGTACATAATAAAGTTGTAGCGTTTTGAATTCAATAGTAAACGTAAAAGTAAATGTTGCACTTCTGAATTATTATTGCTGTTGATCTCTAATATACAGAAGAGATGTGTGTGCTCTGCAGGAACTGCAGAGAATGTGAGTACATTGTCTATTAGGAGCCATTAAAGTGTCACTATAGACAACAAACCTCTACAGCTTAATGTAGTGGTTCTGGTTTGTATAGTATGTCGCTGCTGGCTCAGCAATCTAAACACTGCCTTTCAGAGGATAGGCAGTATTTATATTGCTGTTTAGTAACACCTATAGTGGCTGTCACTCAGACGGACACTAGAAGTGCTTCCTGTGTCAGTGCTGCACAATGTGCATGGAGATGCTGAACGCTCCCAATAGAGATGCATTGGTTCAATGGGAAACCATTGGATTAGCTGAGGCCATCAATATTGATGGTCACAGCCATGGAGGCAGGGGCCAGCCGTGGCGAGAATGATGCATCAATGGAGAAAGGTAAATTTCACCTCCACAGAGAGGGCGGACGGTCACCTAAATATTTACTCCAGCACCATAGTGTTAGGAATATACATGACTGTATCCTACCCCTATAGTGTTCCTCTAATTTTCTCATTTGGTCGGAACATTTTGCAGGCACTTCCGTCAGGCAGGCTAAGCATCACTGGAAAAGTCGTTTCCAAAGACCTGGGGTATCACGTTTAGATGTCACTGTCTATGCCTATATAAGAAGAATTGAGTCACATTTTTGTCCCTATGGGAAAAAAATGGACCCTGTTATTAACCTCCACAAATAGTTAATTAAACTATTAATTAATTAATCCATTCATTTCTTTTTTTTTTAAAATGTATTAGCATTTAGTTTGTATAAGTCAGAGAATATGAAAGTGTTCATTTTTCCAACCCGGAATCTTGTACCATAATGGTTAATCTGCAGTGGAATTAATCCTTGATAACTAGTCTTCAAAAGGTTAAACATTCTGTGTGTTTCACTGCAATGTATCGAGTAACTCTAGAAATTGAATGGGGACCATCTAAACTCCCTCCCCCCCCCCACCTCCGTCCCTCACCCTCCCCACCAATTACTTTCTCAGTAGACATTTTGTGTCTTTTCCTATTTCAATTAGTGTTTGCTCGCATAAAAGCAATCTCATTTCTGTTCTTGATAATTCACAGGGTGTGATAATTGTTTGAATATTTTCCATTTCCGTTCATCTTCTGTACTCATTTGGAAAGCTATGTTTGCCAAGATTGGGATTATTTAACAATGTTTGCCTGTGCATCATCTATTAGTAAGGTTGCAGTAATGGTTTAGGACAACACAATGTCGTCCAAGAAGCCGCTGTGTGCTATGACTCCCAGAGTCCTTTGCTGTCAAGATATACTGCGCTTTACCTGTTAATACACAGATAACCCACCTGAGCATGTTCTTGGATGCATAGGTGATATATGTGTTTGGTCCATTAATGAAGCATAACACTAACATTCTCAGGTTGCTACTGAAAAAAATAATTAGGACAGTGGTTTGTTATTTTATAATCCCTGCCAACCAGAATGTAATGAGTCACTTTTACTGCCTTATATAATTACGCACCTCTAGTCATGCCATTCATTGTGTTTTCTTTAACTGGTAACTATGTTATCAGAAATTCTTTCCTTGATTCTATTAACCACTCTACTTCCTCTGATTTAATAGTTATTCAGCAGTAATTTAATTGGAATCAGAACTATGTAACACCTGAGACACATTTTATTCTATTTAAGTTTCCACGGCGATGTTTTGATGGCTGCAAAGACGTTTGAGGCCTCTCAGTGCAAGACACAGGCTATGGTTCAAAATGTTTGATAAAAATGATATACACCCAAAAAGTCACTGTTAAAAAGTTATATTTTAAATATCGAGTGTCATTTGTGCAACATGATAATGTATTCACAGACCCACAAAATCATTATATTGCTGTTCATAATAGCGCTATTGTAAATGTTAGAGCTACGATTTGGGGTACAGATATTTGGGGGATATCTTTGCTCACGATTGTGTGGGCTATAACTCCCATAATTCTTAGCTAACTCTGAATTTCACCTGCTGATATAATGGAGTCTATGAGGTTTAGGGGGAATTGCTACAACCCCCAGAATTATCAGGATGCAATGGTACAGAGATCAGTACACTGCAAGAATGGGGCAGTCTTTTTATGAATGATGATTGCCATTTTCACTTGATGTTTTCAAATAACTTTTTTTTAATGAAATTATTTCACGAGCAGTTTTAAATCTGGTATAGACCCAAATGCCAATACCAGTGTAGACATGTCAAATCCAAGTTTGACAACGTTCTTTTTACTGTTGTCTAGTCTGAAACCATGCAGTCACCTTGCAGGCACTCACAGCTCACCTTCCTTCGTTATTTCTAAAGTAGACAGTTCTAAATATTGAATTGTGTAAAATAATTGGATTGCATTAAATATATAAAGACTTTGCGTATTGAAGGAACACGATAGTGTCAGGAATACAAAGAACACAATAGTTTGAAAAGCACTTTTGGGTTCCCAGCCACCCTCCTTACTTACATCCTTACTTTTTTCCAATGCCACACCAGTCTCATTACTTTGGCCCTGCCTCCATACTTGAGATGATCAATTTTGATGATCTCAGCCAATTCAATTCTATCCCATAGAAAATTATTGGGAGGCTAATGCACACTGAAAATGCTTGCATTAAAAAAAAACCCTGCAGGAACAGGCTAGAGGCATCAGAACAACTATATTAAGCTGTAGTCGTCCTGTGGATTATAATGCATCTTTAAAGGGACACAATAGTCACCAAAACAACTTTAGCTTAATGAAGCAGTTTTGGTGTATAGATCATGTCCCTGCAGTCTCACTTCTAAATTCTCTGCCATTTAGGAGTTAAGTCACTTTGTTTATGAACCCTAGTCACACCTCCCTGCATGTGACTTGCACAGCCTTCCTAAACACTTCCTGTAAAGAGTCATCTAAAGTTTATCCTTCCTTTTTTTGCAAGTTCTGTCTAATTTTGATTTTCTTATCCCCTGCTATGTTAATAGCCTGCTAGACCCTGCAAGAGCCTCCTGTATGTGATTAAAGTTAAATTTCCAGGGAAAGAGAGACAATTGTTTAAGGTAAATTACATCTGATTGAAAGTTAAACCAGTTTTTTTAATGCAGGCTGTGTGAATCAGAGTCAGGGGAGGTGTGACAAGGGCTGCATAAACAGGAACAAAGTGATATAACTCCTAAATGGCAGTGAATTGAGCAGTGAAACCTGAGAGGCATGATCTATACACTAAAACTGCTTCATTAAGCTAAAGTTGCTTAGGTGACTATAATGTCCCTTTAATGCTTTGTATATTTGTATATACACTAAGACATGGAAGGGCCAAGAAACTGATATGGATGGTGAAACTTTGGAACTCAGAGATCAAAATGCTCACCATCACTGTTCTAGACAAGATGAATCTCAAGACACAACCAAGCTGTCCATTAACTATACTAATATGTCCAGCATTTGCGATGAAAGGTGAGGTTACCTGAAGTCGGTATATACAATTTAGCAGACAGTTCTCTGTTACATTTTTAAAGGAGCTACACCCAACACAGCAGTTTTTTAATCTTGGTGTTACACCCAGCACAAAGATCCTACAGCCTGAGGAGGTTGTGATGAAATTCTCAATTCTAGTGCAAACTACCTTAGGGTACAAATACCAATGGTTATTCTATTCAGCTTTATCCAATTATCCTGTTGTCATCAACCGATAAATTCAATAAGTATGGCTTCATAATCATGAAAAATCCTGGAACTTTAACTATAAACCTGCAACACTAACACTAATTCTATAGTCCCTAGAAAGCATATTTAGCACCAAAGTAAAGGTCCGCATCTTAAGACTAGCAGACCAGTTATGGCCCATTTTGGTCAGAGGTCCTTGGTGGCTGGGATTCTATGGTCCGATACGGGTATGGCTCAAGGATAGTTTATATCATGGGTCCTCAAACTCCGGCCCCCCCAAATGTTGCTGAACTACAACTCCCATGATTCTCTGGCTATCTATGTAATTCAAAGAATCATGGGAGTTGTAGTTCAGCAACATCTGGGGGGCCGGAGTTTGAGGACCCATGGTTTATATATTTATAATCATATATATTTGATTTTTGATGCGCTTCTGTACTGTACAGAACTGTTGCTGAGATCATGTGACACAGCCAGGTTTATCATGAATACATTTGTATTAACAGAAACATTAGCTACGGCCTCTTTTTACATGAGATGATAGCTTTGATCAAAGCTTCACTAAAAGTGGCTGTTTGACAAAAACAAGTCTCTTTGATTTCCTTTCGAAAATTCTCTAGGTGATAGTTTAAAGGGAAATAAAAAAGCTCTTGGCACAATTAAAAAAATTAAAATAAAAGCAGAATAAATGTGACATATCTAAAGCTGTAATTCATATGAGGTTTTATTGGGAGCTGCAAGATTGTTTCATTTGAAAAAAAAAGTTTGTAATTAATTTTAATACTATGTATTATCATTTTAAGTCAGCAGCAACTCCATTATAGAAGGTCTACAATGCAGGTGTCCCATGGATCAAGTATCTCAGCAAATTAGAAGCCTCTTATTCTGGTCTATGGAGTATAAACTGTTGTACATGTTTAAACCAGTACGGCAAAAATGGGAGTGTATTTGTGTGTGGGGGCCAGTTATTAGCAGATTTAGATTTTCTCTGTGAACTGCCTTATTTATGCTCACTTATCACCCATCTCTTATGAAAACTTTTAGCTGAATTACTACTTCCAGAAACCTTTGCTATGCTTACTGATGATATGAACAAGTGTGTTATTGGACACTGCTGACAAAGAGGGGGTGACCGAGAGGAAGCTGTACGATGACACAGGAATCACCAAGAAGGAAATATTTTAGAATAGAGGAGGTAGGACATAGGAGGATTTAACTGCTGGTTTTAATTTGTGGAACTGTTATGAAAACCTGCTTGGCCCCTAAGCCTACAACTCAGATAATTGGTGAATTCAAAGTGAAAGTACCCCGATGCGGAATGTAGACCCACACAGACCTGCCCAATACGAGACCCGTCCCACGCTTCACCGCCACATGACGACATAACCTCATGACCACACACTGCTTAAGAGAAGGTAGCAACACGAGATACTGCGACCTGCCTACCCGAGACACCTGCTCCCACATGCACCCCCAGAGCAACCACGGGCGCTACCAGGCACCGGAGGACAGCAACGTGGGAGACACATGCCCCACACGGAGCACTGTCACGCATGTGTACCGATCCCGCAGCCACCAGGGACATCGGTTGGACAATAGCAGCCTCTCTAGGCCACCTACACAGAGAATAACATACACAGACACAACAGGCTTCGGGCACACTAGCGACTATCCATGCAACATAAAAAATAGATAAAACCTCCACATGGGCGCACATACTATATTCCATGCCTATACTAAGAGCCTATGCACAGGCAACACAACACTTACCTACACACAAGACGAATACCTACTAATACACCCAAACGAAACGAGAAACTACATTTGACGACTGACTTTGTGCCTCAGCGCAGGCAAAGCACCTACTCGCTTATACCTAGCACTTCATCGCTGGATGGCAAAAAACAAGCATACTGTAATCTAGCCCTATGTCACAGCATGAAAGAAGTCAACATAACATATTAAGCACATGCCTGTTAAAAGTCATTGAACCTAATGTAACTGCATACTTTATATGAATGCCTCTGCGCAGGCAACCATATGCTTCTCATGAAACAAGGCTAACGACATGCTTATACTTGCAACATAAAACAAAATAAAATAAAAATAAAATATTTAAAACAAAGTGAAAGTAGAACCGAGAATCTAGTTTATCCTATGTGTGCATCGTCTTAACGTGGACAGAAATCAAGTATGTGAAAGGATTCTACAACTTTATATGAATAAAATTGCTCATGAGATAAAGTGAATTCTACTTGTTCTCTACCTTGTCCACATATATATTTTTGAATAGTGCAGGCTTAGGAAATCTGCATTTTTGTCTGGAAAAAACAAACCATTACACCCATGCATATTGCTTCGATTGCTTCTATGCAGGATAAAAGCTGTGCACTTGCATTTTAAAATTTAACTTCCTGTTAGCAGTGCAAGTGAAAAGTGCAAGTGCCTAAAATAACAACCCTTAGAAACCATTTACCGAATCAAATATTTAAAATTCTCTGAATATTTTTTTTTTAGCATGAATGATAGAAAAATGTTCTCACACTCTGGAGTGGGCAGAGAGGATTGAATAGCTGAACTATATGTTGAGTGACATCTTTATGGTTATTTCTAATAACAGTGTAATTTACTCACTAAATGAGAAATGCAGAGAATTTCAAACTTGAGCCTAAATTAGCCTCAAATTTCTACCTGAATGCTATTGATTAAGCAACGCTTTTTTGTCTAAAATTAACAGTTCTCGTGTTGCTTGTCTACATATACTGGGTCAGTGAATACACCTCAATTTATATTTACTAATTGGTCCGCTTGAGAACAATCATGAGAGCAAAGATGAGAACGATGATGTATTCTATTGGGAAAGAGCTTTCTTTTCCTGCTCTGCTTTTTGATAGTTTTGTAGTATTGGTTATTTTCTTCTTCCTGAGAGGTCCCTCAGAACTTTGGACCTTAAGAAAGCTGTTCATGATTTCTGGGCTTTAACTGACTCTCAAGGGCTGTATTCTCTGGAAGTGTAATACCTCAGTTGGTTATATCTCAGTTGATGAAATTTACACTGTCATTTGAAAATTTAACCTGAAATGGTGAACAGTGGTTGGGGGTCATGATCAGATAACCTGCCGACACTGGTCAAGAAGAACTGAAGGAAATTCCCAAAAATGTTAATGACTAAAAGGTTTATTTACTAAAAAACAAATTGTAGTGAATTCGTTAAAATAGCTGAACTCAGGGGGGCGGGGCCTGACTGTAATGGTGCCTGGATGCATTTTCAGCAAGCTCCTCGAGCAATACTCAATTCACCCTAAATACTGGCATTATTAGCTATTAATCCGAGGCAAATCGAGCGGCTCAGGCACCCAACACCGACTGTCCAGCTCGGGGTCGCTGTCAGCAGCCACATGAAGCCCTCCGGATGCAGACCCACGAGTGTAGCCTGGTGTACGCCGGAGATGGGAGAGGCAGCCGATCTTCCTACCCGGCGGGAGCTGGCTACCATACACACAGTACAAGCGCCCTGCTATCCCCCCCCCCCTCTGGGCTGGCGGGGGTCATCCCGGCCCGCACCCTGTGGACTTCCCCACTGGTCTGAGAGCAGGTGGCACAGCTTCAATAAGCGACAGCACCTTAAGCGGCACTCCCAAAATGGCGGTCGCCGCATGCTCCACTGACCCACAGAACATGTTATCCAGGCTGGACAGCCTATTTGAGGTGTTCTGGAGAAAGCTGCAGAACAGACACCTACCCGCCGGAGACCGCACCAAGACACCAACAAGCCCGATGCGTGGCCCACAAAACCCGTAAGACGCACCGCAAACAGCGGAGACCGTGAAACTTGCGGCGGGAGGTACACAGGCCTCCTCCGCTGACAAGCATCTGGACCTCCAGGAGGAGGGAAATGGTCGGGAACTCACACAGGGAACCGGAGAGGCTCTTTACAGTCAGGCTGACAGCAGTCCAGCACCGAACCTGTCAGATCCGCAGACTCTGGGGTGACTATGTTCTACCTACCACAGGCATAGGTTAAAGGGGACCAGGCTTCAACCTCACTGCCTAGCACTGTTACCAATTCCCAAAGCAATCAAATACCATGGTAATCCTTCTTGTACACCCATCTCTGTACCGAGATTGACGGACTCACTCAGAAAGCTCGGCTTCCTATGCCTGAGACTGGCTACCTGGAAGCCCCTGGGGTGTTTCCAAGCAACCTTTCATATCTAGCAAGTATTTTGTGCATAAACTTAATCCTGGTAATTCGAATAGATATGTATGCTTAGCTTCAACAGTTATAAATCATCACTTTATCATTTTCTTGTCTTCCTCATGTCTCAAACTTATCACACAAAAAATGTGCAGCATCTCTTGACTACCCATACCAATTGTTTATGATGATCTCATATGTTGAACAAGTCAGTGTTTATGCCTGTAATTTACTCTGCACTCAAAAATAAAGAATTTAAAAAAATAAATAAATAGCTGAACTGGAAAAATTCTCCAACTCCCCTTTAGCCACAGCTTGGCTATTGTAGCCTCAAGTTTGCCATTTGGATTGCAATTAGCAAAAAATTTTGCATTTGTGAGTGAACTTATGTGGACCTTTCATGCCGGTGTGAACTTTTTAGAATCAATCGCTATCTCCCTGTCTTTGTGCTGAATCAAAACATTTATGAGTGGCTGAAGCAAGACACAGCAAGGTCATCATCCGCCAGTTGTTCATATGGTGACTTTTCCTGACACGACCATTCCAAACCACAAACATGCATGTCATCTATGATATTTGTGGATAGACTGGATTGATGAAAAGACAGCAGAGAATTTATAAGCTCCAAATCATGAGAGTCTCATCATACACTTGGATAGGTATACTTGGTAATGGGGCATGTGTTCTAATCTGAACAAAATAATGGAATAAAGGGCTTCTTCTTCCACAAATTGAACCTCCCAATATACAATAGTTTTGTGGAAAAAAGCATCAAAAGAGAACTCAGTTGAATTCCACTATTTTGTTAAAACTGTAAATCAGAGTTTTTATAAGCAGATTTAAGAGATTATGAAGTCTTTAACCATTCATTGTTGAGAACTCAAAAGGTTAAAATGTGATCTCTCTTCCTGGAACCGGCTGTTAGTGCCCAACCCTGCTGAAAATAATCCAAGCTTCAAAAAGCTCCATTAAATGAATATTTTACATGCTGCAACAGCTTCCACAACTACATACAGTGACCCACTTCAACTTCCAGGGGGTAACATACTCAGCTGATTGTATGTGTTCTTTTTTATACTGGGTCGAATTCTGGGTGTTTCCTGGTCCAGGAATGTGAGAGTCACTCAGCAAAGCTCTTCCAGGCTGATGACTCACTAGTTATAACTGACAGCTGCAGGTACTAACTGATACAGAGAGATTATGTATTTGGCTTTTGCAAAAAATAAATTTTTATGTAAGTGATTAAGAGACCTCCCTAATGACAAAATCCACATTCTCAGCTTGAGAACATTAACTCCTCCAGGACCACAGTCTATCCCATTCTGGTTCTCAAAGACCTCTGTGCTGACACGTAATGTTCTAATCCTTCAGAGTCAGCTGTTGATGTTCAGTAAGCAAGACATTTTATGCTGGGCTATGAGCTTTACCCCCTCTAGGACCAGGCTGACGTAATAGTGATAATCTTGGAATTTCACAGAAAGTGGGTAAAGGCCAGCATTGTGATCAGCAGTTATTGGTTTCATTGGTCAATCATTTTCTTTTGTATTGTGTGGGGGGGGGGGAGGAAATTGTTTAAAGAATTATAAATGGACACAATGTATGATTGGTAATTGTCCAGGTCATACTCCAGTCATGTTTGGACAGAAAAATCAGCAAAAAGTCTATGGCTTTGGAAGGACCTTTTCTGCTCGTAGTCGTTTGTTTTTACGTGTTTATATTTAATGATTGACTTTTTAACATCTCCTGATGGTATTTTGTGTATTCGTCACTCAGGTTTTTTTTCTTCACTGGCCCTAGAACTGCACTCTTCTGGACAGCAATCTCAGATGCCCCACCTGGAGTTTGCAGAAGCTCCTCTTCCAACTTAGGGGTTACAGTGCTCCTATCACAACTGGGACTTCTAATGTCTTCACTGTCCATATCCTTTCTAGCTCCTCTTTCAGACCTTGGCATTTGTCCAACTTCTCATATTACTTCGTTCTGTTGTTTTATCACTGGGTATCACCACATCCACCACCACTGCAGTCTGCTGTTTCTTATCTACTTCCACAATGTCATGTTGGTCAGTATTTACTTGCGTGTCTTGATCTAGAAGTCTTACAGGACCTTAGCTCTGTCATTCTCAACTACCCTTTGTGATATCTCCCATCTGGGCTTAGG